GAGAGAGTTCTCGTGCGGAATGTTAAACTCTGAGGGAAGCACAAGCTAGCGGACAAATGGGAGCCAGATGTCTATGTAGTCACTCGGAAAGTTGGTGACCTCCCAGTGTATGCAGTCCTGCCAGAGGGAAAGAATGTTCCTATCCGTACTTTGCATCGGGACTTGTTGTTACCGTGTGGATTTCTGCACGTGGATGAAGTGTTACCGAAACAGAGTCTGAATCGTAGACCCAGAACAAGAGCTTACCTGGATGCTGGAAAAGCAGAAGAATCAGAGTCGGTCGAAGAATGTTCAGATTATGAGGATGATCCTGAGTTTTCTTATATTACTGAAAGAGGAGTTGACATTGATACCAAAATTCTTTCAGGATTAGAATCTAGACTATCAACTAGTGTTGAAAGGGCTGTAACCAACCTACCTGATCAAGTGCCTGCAGAAGAACCTCCTGCAGAACCTGTGGGATGCTTACCAGGAAATTCACCTGAAGGAAACTCCTTAACTGTACCGGATCCGGCTGGAACCACTGTGTCTGATGATGAATCTGGAAAAGTAATATAAATTGTAGAACAAAGGCAGAGAGAAAAACTCCAAGGATCGTCAAGTAAGTTCTCTGAGCGAGCACCGGATAAATTGTCCAGCACTAATCAGGAGGAAGGGATGAGATAAACATGGAAGTGAATTCTCACCAGGATCAGACGGATCAAGTGGAAGAGAGTTTTATTCCAAGACACTCTCTAAGACCACGAGCACCTCAGAGACGACTTCAGTACTCACAGTTGGGACATCCTCTTAGCCTAGTTATCCAGTCCTTGTTGACAGGCCTCAGTACTGCTTTTACTACCTCCTTGGATGACTCTGAATCTTCAACCAGAACCTTAAGTCCTACTCCTATTGTGACAAGTCAGCCCCGTACATGCAGAGGAACCTGCATATATTCAGAAGGGGAGGGTGTAACCCAGGTCACTAAAAAGTTAAAATAGAAGCTTGGAAAAATCTTATGCTTCATATGTAGAATAGAAAGAATATCCTCAACTCTACTCAAAATGTTATACCAATAATAAGAGATTGATAAAAAAAATTATTTTATTTAATCCAAATTGAAACTAGTCAGAGTAATCTGAGATCGCTGATTGGATGAAGCTAGAGGTTAGTCCCGCCCCTAGAGATCGTGAGAGAGAAGATGTGAGAGAAATCAAACGAGTGCGTTTGCTATACAGAGCTCAGATAATAAGAGATAAACATAGAAATTGAGTGTGAAACTTTTGAAATTGGATTGTATTGAACAAGATTTTAGTCTTGATACTTTTAAGTAGAAAAAAAAGGAAGATTTGCGCAGAGAAGCGGAAGCAACGTGTTTAACAGAATCGCTTCATTTTTTCCCATTTCTTTATATGGATTATTTTCTCCTTGGCCGGGTTTTTCTTTCTTCTCTCTTCCCTTTTCTTTCTGTGCATATGTGTGTGTTTCTTCTGCTCTCGATCCCGAGCTCCAGTGGTTGAGATTGTCGTCGAAGAATTGTCCTTGCCTGTTGTTGTGTGCATGTTGCTTGGACTGGCGAGCCATTCCCATTTGATTCGTACCTGGTGACATTATTTCAAGAGTGAAATATTGATTGGTAGGACAAACCATTTTTTTCCCTTAATCACTTTTGGGTTTTTTTCCCCTTCTTACTGGACTGAACTAATTTTTTTTCCCCTTCTTTACGGACCCGCTGGATTGAGAAACTGATTTTTCTTGGACTAAAGGCACTATTAAATTTTTTTCACGTGACCCCTCTTCATTTTTTTTTCTTTTCCTTGAATTTTAACCGAGACACTGAATTTGAACTGAGACATTGTCTTTATTTCTCATATGATATTCCAACTGAATGAGACACATACTGTTGTTTATATGGTGTTTCAGTTTTTTTCCCTGTTTCATTTGATAAGTTACTAAGAAAAAAATAAAAAAGGGGTACAAAAATACATAGTTTCTATGGTTAATACTTACCTTTGAGTGGTTATTCCCTTCTTGCTCTTGCTGTGTATTTTTTTTCCTCCAGAGAGTCGCACTTAGTCTACTGTGACTGGTTCAAAATTAATTTAAATTGTCTTAAATCTGACATTTTATAAGTGTGTTTTGCAGAATTAGAATCGGTGACATAGGTTACAGACAGATTAGAACACAAACATTTTCAAAAAGAGAGCAGATTTCCTCTTCCATTCCTCACGAGCACAGTGTCCCCTTGCAGTGACCAGGCACTCGAACCAATGGCTTATCGATACATGGTCCTTCCCTTCGGACTGTCCCTGGCTCCATGTACTTTCACGAAGTGCATGGATGCGGCTCTTTCCCCTCTGAGGCAGAAGGGAATCCGCATTCTCAATTACCTCAACGACTGGCTCGTTTTGGCCTAGTCGGAGGTGGAGTCACTATCTCACAGAGCCCTCCTCCTCAGCCACTTAGAATACCTGGGGCTCAGGGTAAATTTTGCCAAGAGTGCACTGTCCCCCAGCCAACGAGTATCATTCCTGGGAACAGTGTTCGACTCAACTCAAATGAGAGCAGTGGTCGCGACAGAGCGTGCTCTGGTCATACAGCAGCTTGCGGCTTCCTTCAAGGCCGGTGCCTCTCGCCCCCTCAAGGCATTTCAAAAGATGCTGGGCCTTATGGCCGCAGCGTCTCCAGTGGTACAGTTGGGACTGCTTCATATGCGTCCCCTTGCAGGTTCCATCCCATACATAGCATCACGGACACCTGCTTATCAGGGAAGACCAGGCCTGTGTAACAGCCCTGACCCATTGGAAGAATGCTCAGTGGATGGAACAGGGCATCCCCCTGGGAATGGTCTGCAGGAGAAAGGTGGTTTCAACAGATGCTTCCAACACGGGTTGGGGAGCTCTGTGCGAAGGAAAACCGGCTTTCGGCCACTGGTCGAAAGTGGAGGACGGTCTTTACATCAACTGCCTCGAAATGCTGGCGGTATGACGGGCCGATCAAACCTTCCTACCGGACCTGAGGGGACAACATTCTGGTCTGCTCGGACAGCATGACTGTGGTGTCCTACATAAATCGCTAGTGAGGGCTTTCCACGAGGCGCCTCTTTATGCTGGCAGAGCACCTCCTGGAACGGGCTCAGCACAACCTGCGCTCGCTGAGAGAAGCGCACTTTCCAGGCAAACTGAACCATGGAGCTGACATATTGTCATGAAGCAAAATCCCCTCAGAAGGGTGGATGCTTCATCCGCAGATGGTTAAAAAAAATTTGGGAGATCTTTGGCAAGGTGGAAGTGGACCTCTTCACCTCAAAAGACAAATCTCATTGCCCAATTTATTATTCCAAGGACAAGGACGCGTTGGCCCGCGACTGGACCAACCTCCTTCTCTATGCTTTCCTCCCCGATTGCCCTGATTCCGCATGTAATTAGACGAAACAGGGAACAAGTACGCAAGGTTCTCCTGGTGGCCCCAGCATTGGTTATCAGAGCTGTCGCAGCTGCTCATAGTAGCCCCACGGCCCATTCCCCTGAGGAAGGATCTCCTCTCTCAGGTGAACAGGACGATATGGCACCCCCAGCCCGAACTGTGGGCTCTGCATCTTTGGCCACTCGATGGGAGCCTGCAAACCTCCCAGAGTGTGTTCTAAACACCATTTCTCAGGCTAGAGGACCCGGACCCGTCCATCTGTGATGTATCGGTGATATTGTCCTTCCTGCAGGAGCTGTTGGATAAGGGGCGCTCCCCATCCATGCTCAAGGTCTATGTAGCAGCTATAACAGCTCCTCATGCCCCTATTGCAGGCCAGTTGGTGGGCAGAAACAACTTTGTTGTCCGTTTTCTGAGGGATGCTAGGAGGCTGAAACCGACCCGTCCCCTCACTGTCCCTACGTGGGACCTGCCCACTATTCTGAGGGACCTGAAGGGTCCTACCTTTGAGCCCCTGCAGTCTGTTGACCTTCGGTCCCTGTCGTTGAAAACCGCTCTGCTGCTAGCATTAGCATCAGTCAAATGAATGGGAGACTTACAGGTCCTCTCTGTGAACCCTACCTGCCTGGAGTTCGTGCTTGGCGGCTCAAATGTTGTCCTGTAGCCGAGGCATGGTTATATACCCAAGGTGCTCTCTACTCTATTCAGGGCACTACACTCTCTACGCGTCCTCCCTCAGAAGAGGACCAGGAGTTGAATTACTCTGCCCCATCAGGGCGCTGAAAGTTTACATAGAGCGTTCTGTCCTGGACGTCCCTGCCTTGCAGTCGTCTCAGTCGTCGCTTCAGTCGAAGTAACCTGAATCCTATGGTGAAGTGCCCGCTTATATAGCCAGATGTCCCCGCCCATTCTGGCAGGCTTTGTGGCCATAGGTTCGTGCAGCACCGCTGTCGAGCCATTGGTTCATTTTTAAAGTGTACTGCACGAACCAATGGCTATGCAGTTACACTGCGTTATTGAAAAAGGCTTCAGTTCAGGAGGGGAAAAAAAAGGACTTTTTCCCATAGCGTCTTAGCAGACGCAGTACTCGTTCCTGTATCTCAGGGAACCGAGGTTACGTTTGTAACGGAGTACGTCATCCACTTTTTACATACAAACAAGGACGTTTTCTGTTACGTTAACTGACAGAGATTTCTTTAGCCACAGCACACATTTTCAACTAATCCAGTTGTTCTCAATCATGTTTCTGGAGCCCCAGGTTGGCTGCCATATGTAGCCACCCAAGAAAAAACACAGCATATATACACAATACTGTGGATAATAATTTTTGAATAAACAAAACCTGCATGCGCATATTTTTTTTAAACAGTTTTTACACAGTACCTTCTTGAACTAATCAGATTATATATTTAAAATAAACTAACACTTTGGTGAATGAGGGCTCTAGAGGATCTGTTGTAAACTTTTTTTTTTTTTTTTTTTTGCTTGCACTCCTTGTGCAATTATGATGACTAGTTCAATATGATGAAAATCATGTTTTTTGAAACCAAGTTTCTATTATTTTACAAATGATCTCAGGAAACATAATACAATTTTCAAGACAAAATCTATGGTACAGAGAGTTTTTTTATTAATTCATAGGGATCTGTTGTAAATTGTCAAAAAATGTCAAGTTATGAATGTCAACTGCTCAGTTTATTTAAACTTGGCAAACCATACACAGCCATCGTTTGCAAATATTTACAAAGTTGTTTTGTTTGTCTCTGATAGAGCAGCAATAATGATCAGATGTGAAAAAGAACATTTGACGTTGTAATTAGACTGTAGGATTTCTTGCCTTTTTGAATGAATAATTGGCAGGCCTGGTCACACAGACCTGCTTATGATGTTTAGACTAGACAGGGAAGAAACAGTGTATACAAAAAATGTATACAACAGCAATGTTCTTTTTTTTTTTTTTTAAATGGGTAGAACAAAGCTAAATGTCTCATCTGATCTTAAGTCTCCTGACTTCACTTAAATTGTGAATGTGCTGTTTACGTTTATGTCTTAAGCAGAAACTGTTAGAAATCAGCTGGCTAAAATGTAACAAAATGAAAGTTTTCAAAAACAGAAAAAAACCCAGCAAATATTAAAATCTTTTTCTCTTCAGAATCTCAGGTTTCCAATTAACCGGGTGGGATTCTTCAGTCTGAAAAAAAAAAGTCAATTAAATTATTTGAAAATCTTTAAGAAAAAAATTAATTTAGAGAGTTTACAGCAGCATCAAGGCAATTCTTTCCCATCTAATAAACTTTTCTCATTATGAATATTTCAGAGTCAACTAATTTATTTTATTATTATTATTATCAATAATAATTTTGAGTAAGAATTAATAATAAACCAAGAACTTACAGCTGTGTCATCCTCTTTGTAGACCTTCATGGTTTTGTCAGCCTCTGCTGTTATGAGCCGACTCTCAGACTGATCGAACACACACGCAAAGAGCCCAGATTCGCTGTCCAGAGAACCGGGCTGCACTGCTGCATGAATCCTCTGGAAGTTGTAGCCAGTCCTCCAGTCCCACATGTGAATAGTGCCGTTATCAGCTGGTGTGAAAAAAGGATAACCAAGGACAGATGCAACAATGGTATGTAAGAGAAGGTATCAAGAAAAAAAGGGGAACAAATGTAGAAGACAAAATTCAACATTGTTTACATAAAACAGATTTTTAGCTGGCTTTGCAACATAAAAAGAGAGAGTATTTCACCTCCTGACACCAGAACTCCATCTGAATTGACAGCCAGTGTGTTGATAACAGCATTGTTGTCCTGAAAGATTTTGGATGAAGTTCCCATCAGGACATTTCCACTGCTTAATGTTGTCTGGAGAACCAGAGGCAAAGGTGTACCTATTAAAGAGAGGGTTACGTAAGAAAAATATATACTAAAATAGTATATAAATACAGAAATAATGTTGATTTATACTTGGGGCTGAAACAACTAATCAATAAAATGTATTGTAACCGATAATGAAAATAATTGACAATGAATTGGATTAATCGATTAATTACATCTATGCGCTTCGCACAGAAAACACCTGCTGGTCATGTCACTAGTGAACAACACATTTCTGTATACAAAACGCATATTACATATAACGGAGGACACACAGAGTGCTGCTGCACAAAAAGTGCATGGCCCAAGTTAATGGCCGTACCATTAATACAGAAGAGGATTAGGGCCAAGCAAAAATAAATAAAACCACCTCGAGATTAAAGTCGTTAAATTTCGAGAAAAAAGTCGAGATAAAATGTTGAGAATAAACACACTCGTGTCATGCTCATTTCATTTCATCTCGTTGGGCAGTGTTATTTAGCGTCTGCAGTGGGGTGGGATGGAGAGTAATGCACTGGGGAGTAGAGGTCTTCTCGGGTCCTAAAATCTGTACCCGACCCGAATAGACCCAAATCACTTCTTACCCATGCCCAACGTGCATAAATAAAAAATATTTTTAAAGAAAAACCAGACCTGACACAGACCCGATGAAATTAGACCCGAGTCCAACCCGACTGCATTTAATTTCGAACCCGACTGGACCCGAACGTAAACGGTATTGCCGTGTGTACAGCCTGTAGCCCCGCAGTCAATCAGGAAAAATCCCGGTGACCTGCTGACTGATTTGGCCGCTTTCTCCATTACTTTGATTTATTTAACATTAAGCCTATTCAATTTATTATTAGGCTACTTTATGTTAGTGCCTGTCTGATGGATACAAGTTATTTCTAGAGGTCCAACGATATGGGTTTTTCACTGGCCGATGCCGATATTTAGAAATCAGGGCAGCCGATGGCCGATATATGACGATGATTTTTTTGGTCGATATGTTTGGCCGATTTTTTTTTTTTCCCTTCATCTCATAAAAGTGAGTTTGAGTACATGATTATGGCAGGGTACAAGATAGTAATAGTAGTAGTAGCCTAATTCAGAGTAATAATACATGGCTCAAAACTTAAGCACCTTCTCAAAACAGTTCTGAAGCATGCTTTTTGTTTATGTTTGCTGACAGACACCAGTGTTTCCCACAGACTTGCAAATACAAACTCATTCTCTGCCAGCAGGAGGCACTGTTGGAGCGAGAGATATAGCGGTTTCCCCGGTAACGGCTGTAATCAAATAAGCACTGCGCTCACAAATGCTACTTTATCAGGCATTACAGGAAAGATTATATGAAAATGACACCAAAGCTTTTCTGAAGACGGTCAGTTCTTTTCAAAGATACATTCATATAAAAACACCAGCGCTGCATTTTAATTTTGAAACGTGCAGTACTCAGTTTATTTAACAAAGTAATACCTCAATGTATGGGAAACACTGGATACTGTTATAAGTCAAATGGCCAAATGATAACAAAAATAAAAGAGTTCACACATATTACACAG